TTTCTTGGAGTTGCCAGAATGTTTAATGAATTCATCACTGTAGTATTTCTTTTTGGCTAGTCTAAGAGATGTAGTTAGAATGTTTCGGTAAGAAGTGTATTTTGCATGTTTTTGGGGCTGGGGTGCTCCAATTTCTGTTCGAATAGCTTACTTTTATGTATAATTGATAGAAGAAGTGCAGGTGACACCCATGGTTTGAGTAAGCTGGTTTTTCGAGAAATGTGCCTTGTGTGAGAAAACCTGGTGATCCCCGCATTGCAAACATACACAATTTGATTTACAATAGCATCAGGTTCTGGCTCATTTTCAATACCAACAAGGTGATCAACAAGGAATTGTTTAAATTCTTCCAGCCCTAACAGCTCGGTTGTAATGAATATTGACTGACATGCCTTACCCAACTCAGCCTGACCCAGGTGAAAATACCCAACTCAGGCTGACCCAGGTGAAAATACCCAACTCAGGCTGACCCAGGGGAAAATACCCAACTCAGGCTGACCCAGGTGAAAATGTCACACAAATGGAAGCGTCCTAATCCTATATGGCAGGAACAGGTGATCGCGTTCGCAATGTGAACTGGAGCTAACCTGCCATGGACCGCTGGAGAGGCAGAGTCGCGCTGGTAATTGGTGCCGGCGCCGGCTTCGGTGCTGCCATCTGTCGAGAGCTTGTGAATCACGGAATGACGGTGGTCAGATGCACCAGGAATAAAAAAAACGGATCGAGATGGGTCATGCCTGGAAAAACTATGCATATACTTAGAACAGACCGTTAATGAGTGAAACCCACGTAATGGTTATAGGGATCAGAGTAACCAAATATTAGTTGAATTGATGTGCGTAAAAGGATAACGGCTTCTACGTTTCAATCACTTCATACTTTTTTCAGCGATTTGTGCTGAACAAAATTATCCGGGAATTGTCGCGGCGTAACATGTACTTCATTAAAGACTCACATCAGCAGCATGCAACCGCATTACGACATATCTTCAGTCACAGGGTTGATGTGTCGTGAGTAGACGAAAGGCCACGCCGATAGCTTTATTTCCGTTGTTCGGGAGCTCTGCGGGATCTAACGCTGATTGTCAAACGCATTTTTGAATATTAAACATGTTGAATGCAATGATGAAGCTTGAAAATTGCGCGTGATATTTAATGAAAGCCGGCCCACCCCGCTTTTAATGTCATTATCTTGTTTTTGGTGTCATTTTCTCGTTTTTGATGTCATTGCCTCGTTTTTGATGCCATTATCTCGCCTTTGATGTCATTTTTTTGACCGAACATTTTCAGGAGCTGGCTGCTGGGGTGAAAGATTGCTCCGGCTCCCTGACAGCGATGCACTGTGACCTGACCAAGTCGGAGGAGATTGAGGTCATGTTCCGTGCTATCGCCAAGCAGTTCGGCGGCGCCGACGTCTGCGTTAACAACGCTGACCTCAATTTTGCAGGCGGCCTCCTTGATGGCGCCATTGACAAGTAGCGCACTATACTGGACGTCAACGTCTTGGCGCTGGTACGCTGCACTCAGCTGGCTGTTAGCACGCCGCCGTTGACTTCGGGCTGCGATATGGTTCGATGCACTGCCGTTTTTTATGGAATAGTTCTGACTCAAAGCTTTATCCGACAATTTAGTAAAGCAACGACCCAGACCGCAGTCAACCTAAACGGACGCTGGGAAGATTTGGACACGACTTGACAGCGAGCGCTCCATCGCAGGTCACAGGTCATGCCACATGAAGCACGGCATTTCATGCAATAATATGGTGTGACATGTTTCTGGCAAACAGCAAATGGGGGTTGAATTTCGAACCGAACAAAACATTTCAACAGCCTGCAGCATATAAACGAAACTGGAATAATATCATAGTAAGAAAACCACCAAACGTGGTGGGCTCATGTGGTTTCCTAACAGCAGTATGAATGCCGCGTATGCACAACACACTGGCAACCAAACGAACGACACGCTTATAGCTTTCCGCAACTTCTACAGAAGCGCCATAGCCAAGCCAATAGGCAGAATGAATAGTTCAGATAGCCGAGGTAAAGGAAATGGAAAGGCTCGTTGCGACGTAAGGATCACAGAAAAAATAAAAATTGAGAATATTACACTATACAATGCACAGAAATTGAATATATGCACTGTGCCCTAGGCGCACAACAAAATTAGTCAGGACAAAACCAAAAATTCACTTAAAAAAACATTTAATAGCGCATCATACCGGACAACGATGTAACGGCAGCGATCGTGAAACGATGTGACACACAGCTCAACAGTAGCAATGTGGCAAGCGTAACCGCAATTAGTATGAAGGGTACAATATACAATCTCAACAATAGGCCTTCATTGTACGATACACTGGTGCAGTCTGAATAACGTGGCGCCTACTAGAACCCGTGATTCTTGTCCTTTTCAAGTCTGCACGTGTTCTGGCAACACAGATCGGGACCACCTGTAGCGGTGCTTCAGCCCGAATCCTCACTCGGCCAGAGGATGCTGGGAAACACCACCGCAGCCAGCTCAATTCCTGGCTTCACTGAAGCCACCAGTCCTATCGGATGCAGCGCAGCTACCGGTCCCAAAAGAGACGGTGCAACGATGCGTCATACATATTAGTCGACATTTACCAAAATACATTCATTGCAAAAGTGCACTCAACGCCTGTAATATTTGTTGGAAACGTCCTCTCGGAGGTCATGCTGATGGACAGGTCAGCTCGCACCACACGACGGTGTTCAAAATGGGCGCCGGCGTGCCACAGCAAGAACGCGAGGTGGGTATGAGTGATCGCAGCAGCGCAGATCCTATGCACCGTCACGTGCTTGGCCGTTTTTGTCTTCAACAACTCCTACGTTTTAACGGTATGCAAATGGGTAAAATCTCTTCGCTGATTATTGTCTTGGCCATGACAGCTTTAAACACGTTCAAATATTTCAGCAATTTTTAGCGTCACCTTTGGCTGGTGACGTCACCTCCACTTGACTTGACGGATGACGTCACCTTGGCTGGTGATCGTTACTTACTTACTGGTGGCGGTCCGACGTCTCATAAGTAATGAAGTGCGACGTGACATGTGCATAGCGCGTCAGTGCGGACACCGACCTCGACTATCCATGGCACTGCGAGTTTACTAGGGAGGAGCGCCTACGACTCCCATGCCGTCACGGCTAGGGATGGAATGACTTCAGGTGCTGCTGGGTTAATGACGTTATGCGCTGCACAATCAGATCCGTCAGACAGTAAGTGGATTTAGTCAAGATTACTGTCAGGACGTTTAAAGATATTTGACGAGTTAAGCAATCTGTCAAAAAATCTGACACAGCATTTGCCTAAAAGAGATGCTCATCACAGACCACCGCGTCTCAAACCTGGTGGTCCTGGCTAAACTGCTCTTGACATACCACGATATGTGAGATAATTGGCGAACTGCTGGCCACCATTTTTGCCGGCCAATTAGCCGCCGGTGATATAGCATACGACACGCGAGACAGCTAGCGCATTTATGTGCGCTCGACAGCCCATGGGCACCGGCGCACAGGAACGGATATGTATGCCGGTGCGATTGTATGCCGGTGTCTCAATCGAATCAAGCTGCTGAAAACGCAGTCACATGCTTGAAAACCTATGTACAGTGATAGACACAGTAATGACACCTACAATGGTACAGGAATCTATAATGATACAATAATACGACAAGTTTACAATAATGAATAACATCCGCTGCGGGAAGCACCGGTAGATACCCACGGCTACAAAGCTAATAGTTCTTTAGCATGATTTCCTGCACCGACGACATGGCCAAGCTGAGCAAACTTAGCAGCTCATGCTTGAATCTTTGTAACTAAAGAATTGCGAAGCACGCACATTTTCTACGTGCGTCCCGCGCACGGAGGACCGACGATGTTATCACATTACTATTGTTAAGCATTGTACGCAAAATTATTCAAACCATGGCGCAGGCCGTCTGATTAATGCAAAATTTCGGGACCCAAAGCAATAAAAGGGTGGACACCTCCCAGCCATTGTTGCACACAGTAAGACCAATCAAGGTTCTCCCTATTTTGGTGATTGTGTTGTGAATTTGCTCGGAGGGGTGTCACTAGATCTGGAGTCATTACCGGTCAGGTGGACGACGGCAGCATATTCTTCTTGTAAACGAGAATTTCAGTACATAGAATGGTTTGCACATCTCTAGCACACGTGTCACGTTTAGAACCACTTGAGTAGTATTACAGCTGCTCTGTACGGAGGTGCGTTACCAGACCTGAGGCGGCTCTCGACCGGATGGCCACCTGTCGCTCAGACCGCTTTGAGGATGGAAATTTCACAATTTCAGTCCCGAAAGCAATAACGCGGTCAATGCATGTACCTTATTTCCACATGCGTGCATACGCGTCACGGTTCACGAGTTTGGGCGATTTTGCCTGTAACCTGCGCGGATGTCCCTTATTATGCTTAGGGAAATTATGGACTGGGCGGCCACCAGCCGCCCAGACCGGTTGTAAAACGGTGCATACGAACCCCAGAGCGATAGAATAGCCGGCACATGTCTACAGCTTTCACAAACGTGCACGCTCGCCACGTTTGTGCCAATTTGTATGATCTTGCATCTGACCTGAAGAGAGGACCATTCTTGAACTTGGGGTAATTGTCGAACAGCCTGCCGCCAGCCGCCGATACTTCTTGTACATAGCTCAGAATATCGGTGTGCCGTGCAAAAGTTGCTCTTGCATCATGCATGTAAGCTTTGACCTACTTTAAAAGATCCAGTCACGTTCAATCCATTCAAGCCTCCAGCCATGCAAACAGCCTCTACAGGCTCCTAAATTGAATGGAGGCAGTTGGAGTCTGGAATGCTTGTGCATGGAAGACTGTCATACTAAAACAGCTATGAGTTGTGAGAATATTGATGGCGCCATTCAACAAAGAGATTAATAGTGACACTGTTATTTCCGTCTAGCATTGGGGAAAGTAGACAGCTGACGCTCGATTCCAATCGGCGTCTAGAAAAACCGTGACCAGACGCACGGCAGTGGGAAATACATCAAACGTACACTGGAATTTGTGTTGTCGAGTTTGACAGCGTTCGGTACGTGGGAACGAGATTTTGAGTGTTAATTATGATAACGTAATAATAGATATCTAGTTGACCACCAGGCCCTTGATGGAAAATGAGGCTTCCTAATGTTGAATCTGCGCTCTAAATGCTGGTGGTAAATGTCCCGTGATGTGCCACACTTATGGAGTGTTCCACATTTATATGCAATTTGGAACTGAATTAGCCATGTTGAAGATCATTTAGTGCAGCCCACAGGCCTACCTTTTCAAACACCTGGACTTAATTTCCAAGCTTCATGCCTGCGAACATGCACAGATAATTCTGACTATTTCAGGGTCACCCAGGTATTCATAACAACATTAGCAAATGACAACCATATTAACATCATTCAAATTTTGCTCTCACATTGACCATTTGGTGAGCAGGCCCAGAAAATATGATGTTTGGCTCACGCATATCCATCAACTTATTTGATCATATCTGATGCTTCAGCATTTGAAGATATGGAGTGCTCCCTTTAAGATAGTTAATTATGAGGGACCCCAGTCACCCATTGTTGGATTGTCAGAGATATGACATACATGTGTCTCTGCTGACTGTCTCACAGATTTCAATGAGGCTTGAAAATTTAGGAAGCAAGCAACAGTTCTTCAGCTAAAGGCGGAGCAACTCATTTTGGGACCGGCCCTAGAGGAGGGCTAAGGCAAGAATTTATGTATGAGGCAGGTTATAGACATTTTGAGGCAGGAATTCCCCTAAAAGCATGGGTCACCTTATTTTGGGGGCTGCTGAAGGTACCTTGATGCAGGTATTGCATTATTGAAAGATTAGGCAAGTCCTGGAAGCTCATTGTGGTGCATAAAAAAGGAATAACACTAATCAAGCAGTTCAAGAGCTGAATGTGCCACATCTGTCTTAGCTACATGTTAGTTGTTTTTGTTGCTATTGCCATCATATCCTGGCCAGCCATGGATATGAATGCTTATACAGTAATCCTGCAGCCAGAGATCCACCAATTAAATCGAAGCTCTCAAATCTTGCACAAGAATAAAACCTTTTGTTCACACCGGCTTCCTGTGCATTTACTAACCACTGAAAAGCACAGTTCACAGCAGCTGAAAAAGCGGCTCAGATCCTGACGGGCCAGCATTAGTGAGGGGCTCTGCAATTGGGGTATTTTATTGCTGCATTGTAAAATGCTCTATGCATTTTGGAATGCTCTTAACTTGGTAATGTAAAGGGGCAATCCTAAATGTTGCATATTTAACTTAATATGGTTCTGGCCATCTCAGGTAAAGCAGTGGGGGTGATAAGTAGTTGTTGGTGCAAGGTCATGAGGAAAATCCTGGAGACCCACTGGTCACCACAATTATCACCTCCTGCCGCAAGCAAAATAGTTGGCTGCCCCATCTAGGGCAGCATGTGACCTGTCCCAAATATCTTGTCAAATGGTCTGCCACCTTTTGCAGACTAGATGCTTCCCCTTGTAATCTAGTTGTGTGTTATTTTGCCTGTAAAAATTTACACAGGCAGTATGCACCAGCTACATTAAGTTTTTTTTGCTGGATAGTGTTAACTGCTTATGGTTTTCTCCTCTTTGTGGTAACTAGTCTAATAGGTGAAGGACCATGGCTTTCCAACACACTGGATGATCTATCACTATTGATGACAGCTGTCCAGAGAGCTTGGGTGCTGCAAATGTGTAACTATGCCTCCCCACCATCAAGTGGGCTTTCCAAGATCTTGATTATCACAACCTGACAGAATTTTCAGATATCAAATTGTTTGGTATGTTATCTTGTCAGTTATCCTGGCATATTTTATCCCAGGAACAGTGAACAAATTGAGACTAAGTGCCCAATAATTATTTGTGTTTTGTAGTTCTTGATCAGTCCTCTAGTTGTATTTTAGTTTTGCTTCTCCTGTTATGTCCCACTCCATATGAATATCTAAAATGAAGTGCTCATGACAACAATCTCAGCATATGTCAAGCCAAAGGAGTTTTCCCAATAATGCGGGGTATGAAAATAGGCTTCTTTGAAACCTGTGGAAGTTGGCAGTCAACAGACCGGTGGTCAGTTTGGCAGTGGTCAGACCAGAGGCAGTTTGGCCAAAAATATCACAAGATTGTGGCACAGGTTATGGTTTCGCGTCAGAGAGGTAGCAGGTCACCAACTTTTTCCCAGGCCAGTGTGTTGAAGCTCATGCAGTGTTGGCTAATTCCTGCCAACTTTTATGTGTTGGTTTCATGGATACCATTTCAAATGACAAAGGGTCTCAATGCCAAAGTTCTTTTTACAGTGGCATAGGGTCCAAGTGAAATCTACTGATGGTGAGACACTCAGCTGATTAGACCCCATGGCTCAACACTTAGAAACTGTGCAGGCTGTTGTGCATTCATGGAAAATGTGCAAACAGATGCTAATCAGCACAGGTAATACAGTAAAGTCCCTACTCCACTTAAGCATTCATAATTGAAAAAAAACAACAACAACAGACTGCAAAAGTACAGAGATCTTGCATATGCTGCCTACAATGTGCTGGATGCTGACTAGCATGAAGCCTATGAAGATAGGGGTCATATGTCACATGACATCCATCAGGCACTGGGAAAATCTGAAAATGTCTGAGTGAGGCCTAACACACAATGTGAGGCAGTTCCTGGCTGGTTGTTTTTGTCTGCCTGATGTTGCTCATAGGTGAAGTACCCAAGCTTGAATTTTCTGCCATAACACAATTGATAGCTGTGGTCATACTGGATATGATATACTTTCCTGGCAGACACCAGCATATAGTGATATTGAGTGGATAAGTTTGGGTTTTTCTGTGTACTGGCCTTCTGGCTGGGTGATGGTCATATGGTTGTGGCTGCGTTTTGTGCAGGCAATGATATTTAGCAGTTCGCACATAACTACAGCATGAAATGGCGGCGGCAGCTGAAGCGCTGGTCAATTCCAAATAATCACCGTCTGCTGTGCGATCGTCACAGTGTGCTCTCCCTCGGCAGGTGAGCGGCAGCCATGTCACAGTATGGAGGCAACAAGAGCGGACCGCCGCCCTGGGCTCAGACGCCCGGCATGCTGCAGAGGCCAGGTAGGCATGCTCACACTGGCACTGCTGGTCAGTGATCAGGTGGTTCCATCAGTAGTGAGTCATGCAGCTACCTCTGCAGCTGGTCAGTGATCAGGTGGTACCATCAGTAGTAAGTCAGGCAGCTACCTCTGCAGTTGATCAGTGATCAGGTGGTACCATCAGTAGTAAGTCAGGCAGCTACCTCTGCAGCTGATCAGTGATCAGGTGGTACCATCAGTAGTGAGTCAGGCAGCTACCTCTGCAGCTGATCAGTGATCAGGTGGTATCATCAGTAGTGAGTCAGGCAGCTACCTCTGCAGCTGGTCAGTGATCAGGTCGTATCATCAGTAGTGAGTCATGCAGCTACCTCTGCAGCTGGTCAGTGATCAGGTGGTACCATCAGTAGTAAGTCAGGCAGCTACCTCTGCAATTGATCAGTGATCAGGTGGTACCATCAGTAGTAAGTCAGGCAGCTACCTCTGCAGCTGATCAGTGATCAGGCAGTACCATCAGTAGTGAGTCAGGCAGCTACCTCTGCAGTTGATCAGTGATCAGGTGGTACCATCAACAGTGAGTCATGCAGCTACCTCTGCAGCTGATCAGTGATCAGGTGGTATCATCAGTAGTGAGTCAGGCAGCTACCTCTGCAGCTGATCAGTGATCAGGTGGTATCATCAGTAGTGAGTCAGGCAGCTACCTCTGCAGCTGATCAGTGATCAGGTGGTATCATCAGTAGTGAGTCAGGCAGCTACCTCTGCAGCTGGTCAGTGATCAGGTGGTATCATCAGTAGGGAGTCAGGCAGCTACCTCTGCAGTTGATCAGTAATCAGGCAGTACCATCAGTAGTGAGTCAGGCAGCTACCTCTGCAGTTGATCAGTGATCAGGTGGTACCATCAGTAGTGAGTCAGGCAACTTCCTGTGCAGCTGTGGGAGGTGTTGACAGGAGGGTGAGAACCTGTGATGGTTGTGGGAGCTGCGCTATCCATTTTGGGCTCTGTGGTGCATGGCCCACAATATTTTTAATAGCTGTTGGATGGCTGGTGCATAGACCTTAACCACATTGCTTGGTGGGTTGGGTGTGCATGCAGTCATTGCAAGTATATATATATATATATATATATATATATATATATATATATATATATATATATATATATATGTATGTATACGCACATGCGGCAACCCGACAGCGACTATTCCTGCCGTCGCCGTCCTCGAGTGTGTGTGCTGGCTGAGCTAACGGGGCGACGTGTGGCCGTGTTTCAGCAGGCTGGCAGGACCGCGTGTGGCCGTGTTTCAGCGGGCTAACAGGGCGGCATATGGCCATGTTTCAGCGGGCTGACAGGATGGGATGTGGCCGTGTTCCAACGGGCTAACAGAGCGGCGTGTGGCCGTGTTTCAGCGGGCTAACAGGGCGTCGTGTGGCCGTGTTTCAGCGGGCTGACAGGATGGGGTATGGCCGTGTTTCAGTGTACTCGGAGGCCGGTAATTCATCCATCCGGGCATCCCCCATCACCTACCAAAGTGAGTCTCGCGCTAGCTGAGCACTCTCCATGGCCCACCGGGCCTCCTCGGGCCTTTTCCCGAGCGGGGCCTTTCCCGGCCATCACCCTAAATGTCCCATGTTCGACTGGCCTCTCCAGATGATGCCCTGGATGTACCCCTGACCTTTCACAGGAGGGATTTCTGATCCATCTCGGGAACCCGTCGGCGGTACCCATCTCCGACGCCCATCCCGGACACCATCACTGACGCCCATCCCTGACGCCCATCCCTGACGCCCATCCCCGACGCCCATCCCTGACTCCCATCCCCGACGCCCATCCCCGTCGCCCATCCCTGACGCCCATCCCTGACGCCCATTACTGACGCCCATCCCTGACACTATCGTTGACGCACATCCCTGACCCCATCCCTGACGCCCATCCGTGACGTCCATCTCTGACACCCATCCCCGACGCCCATCCCTGACTCCCATCCCCGACGCCCATCCCCGACGCCCATCCCCGACGCCCATCCCCGACGCCCATCCCTGACGCCCATTACTGACGCCCACCCCTGACGCAATCGCTGACGCACATCCCTGACCCCATCCCTGACGCCCATCCGTGACGTCCATCTCTGACACCAATGCCTGACACCACTTTTCCGTGCACGTCCGCTGCTCGTCAATCGTCTTCCTCGGAGGCGGGACCGCCGCCCCTTCCCTCCCGCTCCCGCTCCCGCTCCCGCTCCCGCTCCCGCTCCCGCCCCCGCCCCCGCCCGGCCCTGCACACCCATGCCGTCGGTAGGGCGGCGCGCCTGGCGCCTGTGTCTCGACATCACTGACCGGGCGGCCGTTCTGACCTGGCGCTCTCCGGCCGCCCGCAGCGCCGCAGCAGCTGGGCCAGCAGACGCTGCTGCAGCAGCCCGGGCTGGCGCCAGCCATGCTGGTGCAGCAGCAGATCCAGCAGCCGGGAGCGGTGAGTCGGCGCCGGCCGGGCGGGGGTTCGAGTCGCGGCGCGGCCGGGAAACGGACGCCGCGCCCTGCGCCGCGCGGTCGCGACGCGTGCGGTCTTGTGCGCGCGTTGTTTTGCAGGCGACTGGATTGTGGAAGCTGTCGCGTTGTTGCGTTGGCAATGTAGCGTTCGGGGCGTGCGCGGGTTGTGTCGCGGCAGTGAGGCTGACAACGCTAGTCGTTGTCAGTTGTCAGTCAGCTGTTGATGCCGCTTTTATTCTTGGGTGAGCGTGCTCAGCTGAGCAATGGACGCAGCTCAAATCGTTCTTTTCAAACTTGCGGGCTGACTCATACTTTTCTCATACTCTTCGTGATACAGCGTTTGATCGTACTCTTCTCGATACAGCGCTTGACATTTTATCTGTGCTCACCCTGACGGGCTCTGCCCGTGTCCGCCGTCAGGTACGGTCCCTGACAGTGTGTCTGCGTCAGGATAGGTCAGCTCCCCCGCGTCGGAGCCACGCCTACAGTGTCTGACAGTGTGTCTGCGTCAGGATAGGTCAGCTCCCCCGCGTCGGAGCCACGCCTACAGTGTCTGACAGTGTGTCTGCGTCAGGATAGGTCAGCTCCCCCGCGTCGGAGCCACGCGCACAGTGTCTGACAGTGTGTCCGTGCCCGCTCTAACGGCCGGTGCCGGCGTACTGCGCTGCCAGGTGCCGTACGGGCTGCAGTTCCAGGCGGCGCAGCAGCAGGCGCTGCTCTCGCAGGCGGGCTCGGTGAGCCTCGGCGCCCCCGGCATCGCGCTGCCCACCACGCTGGCCACCACGCAGGTGAGGGGGTCGCCGCCGCCGCCGCCGCGCCGCGCCGCCGCGCCGCGCCGCGCCACAGGCCATGGGGTGATGAGGATGGGCACCGATGGGCCGGGTCCTCATCTGGTCTGGGAGCTGGGAGCATTCGTCGGCTGGGGCAGTACAGATGATGTGGTGGGGTGGTATGGATGATGCGGTGGGGTGGTGCAGATGATGGGGGAGATGACTCAGATGATGGAGTGGAGTAATGCAGATGATTTAAAGGGGATGAAGCAGACGATGCAGCGGGATGATGGGGAGGATGCCGGCTATGTCGGGGACCGCTCGACCACTCCGTGTGGCGTCCGTCCCCTGACGCGGGCGTCGGCGGCACACTCGCCCGCGTTGGCTGGCGGTGGCTGTGATGACGGCACGCGGCGCCCCCAGGGATATGCGGCGGTAACGCCACCCTTCCGTCACATCAGGTGATGACTGGTGATGTTCTCCGCCCTCTGCGCGCCAGCCGGTGACGACTGTGCCGCTCGGTGACAGCGGATAATGACTAGTGATGCTCTCCGCCCTCTGCGTGCCAGCCGGTGACGACTGCGCCGCTCGGTGACAGCGGGTGATGATGATGTGCGGTGGGACGTACGGTGATGACTGTGATCCTGTTTCAACCTCCCGTGATGATGTTGTCTGCGTGACTCTCGCCGATGTTGTTGTTCCTCGCTATGGTGGCCGGCGTAGTCGCAGTGCCACGGGAGTGCTGAAGGCTAATCGGACGTTTGTGTCTGTGCGACAGTCGGTGATGACGCCGCTGTCTGTGCGACAGTCGGTGATGACGCCGCTGTCTGTGCGACAGTCGGCGATGACGCCGCCCTCTGTGCGACAGCCGGTGATGACGCCGCTCTCTGTGCGATAGCCGGTGATGACGGTCGGCTCCGGAGTGGCGTACCCGACCGCCCGGAACCTGGGTCCGCCAGCCTCCGCCTACCCCGGCCAGCAGCTGATGCAGGCGCAGCAGGTGTGTGCCGACCTGGCGGCCGAGAGGCGGCGACGGCGTGGTAGCCCTGTGGTCATGGCGCCTGGATGGGGATCCGGAAGGCTGGGTTCGATTCTGTGCGTTGGCAGCTGTCATTGTCCGCGGTCGTTACCGGTGGCGGCGATGGCTGATGACGTCAGACCATGCGTGCATCGGTGCATGCCAAGCCATCGGCCAAATTCTTGTTTGTGCGAGGGTATCCCTACGAAAGTTATCGTCTTTTTGACAACTTGAATTTCGGTATATTCTGTTTTATATAGGTGCTGTGCAGGTCAGTGACAGCACGTACATTGCTACGGTGTCATCGACGACGGCGAATGCTGGGCCCCGGGCGCTTGATTCCGAGCGTGTGACGTATTATGCGCCTGCCGCCGACACTGTTGGTCATTGCGGCATCCGGCAGCAGCAGCAGCAACAACAACAGCAGCAACAGCAGCAACAGCAGCAGCAGCAGCAGCAGCAGCCGAAGCAGCGAGTGTTCACGGGTACCATCACCAAGCTGCACGACAACTTCGGCTTCGTGGACGAGGACGTCTTCTTCCAGACCAAGTGGGTTGCGGTGGCCTCCCTTTTGCCAGTAGCTTGAAAGCGGGTTGTGTTGGTCAGCAGGATGTGGGGGGGGGGGGGGGGGAGGAGGAGATAGGAAGCCTTAAATCGCCAAGGAAATTGCAGGATACGGCATCAGATGCATTACATGGTAAAGCATAGATACAAGACCAGCCGTCTATGGAGATGCTCTGTTCCCGCTCTCAACGAGCACTGGCGTCCCAAACAGGACGGGTCGCAGCAGGGATGACAGGGAAAAAAGGGGAGACTTCAGCCCTGCACAGGGCGGAGGGGACGGCCAGTAGGCGGAAGCCGTGTCTCGCGCAGCTGTGGTGATCTTCCCGTAACGCGCGTGATGTGATGACGTCCTTACTCTGTGTGTCGCGCCGTGACCTGACCCGACCTGCTCGGACCTGACCTGACCTGGCATTGCCTGAAATCTGCTGTGGATGCGTGGTGACTCGGTCTGTCCTTGAGTCTCATCATATGTGCAGTGACCTGACCTGATCTGACACCAAATCTGCTTGCCTGACCTGGCGCTGAATCATGTGTGATGGTTTGGTCTGACCCCTGCCCTGCCCTGCTCTGCCGTGCACTGCCTGCCCTGCCCTGCCCTGCCCTGCCCTGCCCTGTCCTGCCCTGCCCTGCCATGCCCTGCCCTGTCCTGCCCTGTCCTGTCCTGCCCTGCCGTGCTCTGCCGTGCCCTGCCCTGTCATCTGCCCTTCCCTTCCCTGCCCTGCCCTGCCCTGCCCTGCCCTGCCCTGCCCTGCCCTGACCTGGCCTGCGCCCGTCTTCCGGCAGCTGCATCCGCGGCACGCTGCCCAAGGTGGGCGAGCGCGTGCTGGTCGAGGCCCAGTACAACGCCAACATGCCGTTCAAGTGGAACGCTACCCGCATCCAGCTGCTGCCGAACCAGGGCGGCGCCGGCGGCGGCGGCGGCGGCGGCGCGATGGGCGCCGTGCGCAGCCAGGCGGTGCTGACCCGCGGCCCACCCCAGGTCATGGCCGCCAAGAGCGCCGGCCCGGCCTACAGCGCCGTGCCCCCGCCCAGTGAGTGGCTTGTCAGCCGGCGGCGCGCTCCGGGGTCTGGTGGGCTTCGTGCTTCGATGGGCTTCGTGCTCGGGTGGGTTCCATGCTCCGGTGGGTTCCGTGCTCTTGTGGATTCCGTGCTCCGGTGGGTTTCGTGCTCTTGTGGTTTCCGTGCTCTGGCGGGCTCCTTTCTCCGGTGGGCTCCGTGCTCCTGTGGACTTCGTGCTCCGGTTGGCCCGTGCTCGACTACCAGGTGTGAGATGGGTTCCGGTGTGGCTGAACACAAGGTGCGTCTTTTCTGAAGAAGCGCTGGCGTCTGATTTCAGTGGCGCTAAATGCCACGGTGTGGAGTGTGCAGTTACCCGTGAAACTTACTCGCCCTTTTGGCGTGGTGCGCTGCGCGCCCGTGGGATCCGGCGGCGCGGACCCGGGCCGCTCTGTTGACCTCCCTCTGTTGACCTCCCTCTGTTGACCTCCCTCTGTTGACCTCCCTCTGTTGGCCTCCCTCTGTTGACCTCCCTCTGTTGACCTCCCTGGGCATCCGCTGGTGTGGCCGCCGGCTGACTGGTGGCCGGCCAGCCGCTGACCCCGGCGCACGCGCGCGTGACCCGCGCCACGTGGCCCCGCAGGTGAGCAGATGCCGCAGCAGGCGGGCGGCCTGTACTCGGGCCGGCTGCCGCACAGCGGCCGGCCCCGCTCGCCGCTGCGCCGCGTGCGCGGCTCCAGCCGCGACAAGGACCGGCGCCGCAGCAGGTGGGCTCCGCTCGCCGGCGCCGCCGGAGCGTTGCGTGCTTGTGCCTCGCGGTCGCTGGCTCGCCACCGGTCACGGAGTGTGTGCTCATGCAGCAGGGTGGCACACAGGGTCTCTGGTGCTGCAGTGAGGCGTGCCGTTGGTTCACGTGCCACGGGAACGAGGCTCCGGACACGCGTTACATGTCACTGACGCATAGGCCACACGCCACTGACACACACAAGTCACGTGTCACCGACACACAGGTCACATGTCGCTGACATGCGGATCACACGTCACTGACACACATGCCACATACCACTGATACACACAATTCACATGTCACTGACGCAGAGGTCACATGCCAGCGGTATCACAGGACGACCACACGGGTGCACACGGCCCCCATAAGGAGGACGTGTTACCTTTGCACCCGCACCGCTGTGTGTAACTGGAGGTTCTGAGGCTGCTCACTGTGCGCTTCTGTGGTAAGCCGGCCGCGTTAGCCCTGCATTCGTCTCCGACCCGTCGCGTCTGTCCTCGACTCGCGGCATCTGTCCCCGATCCATCGCAGCATCCGCGCTTCTGCTCCTCCGCTTCGACCCCCGGCCGACCCTCTGACGTCCGGCCGTGACCTGACGTGACCCCGCCCCCGCTGACCTGACCCCGCCCCTGCTGACCTGACCCCGCCGGCGCCGGCGCCGGCAGGGAGCGGGACGACTCGAGCGGGCGGCGCCGCAGCCGCAGTCCGCGCCGCTCCAGGTCGCCGCGCCGCCGCGGCCGCGCCACGCCCAGATACTCGGTCCACGTGCCCAAGGTCACCATGGACATGTGAGTACGCGCCGCCGCCGCCGGGCGGGCAGCCGCGCCGGCGCGTCAGGGTGGCGGGCTGGGGACAGTGTTAGTGAGGTAGCTTTTGGTGTTAGGGTGTGGGAATTGCGCGGGTATCTGCGCGCTGGAGTGCAAACTTCGTGAAGTGTAACGGCCCTAGTAAAAGCGGGTGGACGTCTTTCAGTATCTTATAAATAAGTGTTCATGTATTCTCAACAACAATGGTTGATTCATGGCACTGCGTTTTCCATTCCTGAGATGTTTCCATCGATGCTGAGTTAACATGACGTTAGCCTAGCATGTCATGTCTGTCACGACATGATACAATATACGCCTACGATGTGTCAGTGCGTTTCGAACTGCAGTCGTGCCGTCTCACGCCATATGAAGTGTTGATGCGGCTCTGCTGGTGCGGCCGCGTCTCGTGCGTCGCCGCCCGGTGCCCGCCCGTCTGACCTCCCGCCCCCTCCCCTCCCCCCCCCCCTCTCCCCTCAGGTCGGAGGCGGCTGTGCTCACCCTGAGGAAGCGCTACACTAACCTGTACGTGCCATCCGACTTCTTCCTGTCGCGCTTCCTCTGCGCAGAGACGTTTCCGCTGCACCGTCCATTCCAGGTGAGCGATCGTCGATTGGACTGGTGTTGGGCGCCTGATCGACAGGTGAGGGGTTCGATTCCCGCCGAGGGACAACGTTTTTAATCCGTTTTTCATGAGTGGTGGTTAGGGCTGTGACCATTAGCGTTGCTTGCGACAGAAGACGAGTGCTGCGGTCGGGGTGCCTGCCTTGCCTTTAAAAGGCGCGATGTGTTCATGAACGCAAACCACGCGATGCCCAAGTATCGTCCTTGGCAACGTGACTCGTCGGAGCGGGTCTGTGATAGTTTGGCAGAGATTGACGCGGTAGGGAGAAGGATCACAACATACGGACAAGTCTCCATGCCAGTCGTGGTATTGCACACACGCCGCGCGCCGGTCGGTACACCGTATGCCGCGGTGCGGGACCGCGACCGCCTGTCCGCCGCCGCTCACGCCGTCGCTGACGTCACGCCCGCGTCCTCCCGTCGCCATGGCGACGTCAGCTGGCCTCGCCGGTGTCGTACCACGTGATGAGCAAGGACGTGGACCCGGTGGCCGAGAACACCGCCGTGTACGAGCCGCCCGACGTGGACTACCGCTTCTGCGCCAAGGTAGGCGGCGGCGGCGGCGGGCGCGGGCTGTGGCTCGCGCCGCGCCGGCCGGCGCCGGCTGGGCGATACGTGAGGGGGCTGCAGGGGTGATGCTGTTTTGTGTCCGGAGGCGGGTTGGTGCTCTCTGATCACGTCTTTAAAAGTGAAGTGGATTATGAATGGTTGGCAAGAAGGAGCCTCCACTTGGGTGGCTGGATGCGTGTACACTACTCAGCTCTGTCCTAGAGGGCACAGTGTAGCCGTTTGATCGTCCGAGGCTGGCTCTTGTCCCAGCCTCTAGCCGCCCATTTTCTCTGACGGTCCCTGCTTGTTTCTAAATGGTCCCTCTTCCATCCTCTGTAATGGCCCTTACACGCCATAATTCGACCCTCTTGCCCCCCCCCCCCCCTCCGTCGCGCCCTCTGCCGCCTCTCACCCGTGCCCGGTCCCGCCCCGCCCGCTGCCCCCCCCCCCCCCGTCGCACTCCTCTGCCGCCTCTGGCCCGTGCCCGGCCCCGCCCCGCCCGCTGCCCCCCCCCCCCGTCGCGTTCCCCTGCCGTCCCTGACCCGTGCCCGGTCCCGTCCACTGACCCCCGCCACCCCGTGCGTCAGGTGATGCTGCTGACCACGCCCACGTGGGAGGATATCTGCCGCAAGACCTGCAACCTGGCCGAGGAGGACGTGGACGAGGACAGCCTGGTGCACCCCTCGCGCGTTATCAGCTTCCTTGTCGGACTGCGCGGTCAGTGTCGCGTGGCATCAGTGGGCGTCATTTTACACCCACGGGCGTCACAGTGCATCGCGAAGCGTCATGGTACACCGAAAGGTGTCAAAGCGGGCGGGCGAGTGTCGTGCGGGCGTCGCAGTACACTGACGGGTGTCGAAGTGCACTTACGGGTGCACCACTACTCCAGGGACCTGCTTCAATGATCGCTGGCTTGGTACGTTGACAGGCGCCGCACTACACTGGGTAGGCGCGTCATCATACCAACCTGTGTCAAAGTGCACCAAACTTGTGTTTCATTGTCCGTTAAGTCATGCCTGACGATCTCCATACCAAGTCATCACAGCCTTGCGTGACCAGTGCCGCGCCTACCTTTGTGCCTTTGCCGTCCAAAAACCTGGTTGTCAAGGCAAAAGGCTTCAGTGCTATGCTAACTAACGGCTCTCAGGCCTTTTTGCCTTTGGCCGTGTCTTTCAGACCATCTCTGCCCAATCATCTCTCGCCCTCAGTGTGTTCACTGTGTGACCACCTCCACGCCTTTTGACATCCGCCGGACGTTCTCTGCGCCTTGTCATTGGGCTGACCTTGTCGTGGCATGATAACCTTTGGGCTGACCTTGTCGTGACCGGCCCTCGGCAGGCAAGAACGAGACGATGGCCATCGGTGGCCCGTGGTCGCCGAGCCGCGACGGCGCCGACCCGGAGGGCGACCCGCAGGTGCTGATCCGCACGGCCGTGCGCACGTGCCGCGCGCTCACCGGCGTCGATCTGTCGCAGTGCACCAAGTGGTACGTGACGCCGCCCGGCCGGCCGCCGGCACGCGCTGGCGCGCTGGGGCGTCGCCGTGTGTGGACGCTGGCTGGTCGGTGTACGGTGGTGGTGGATGTGACGGGCGGAGGAGGGAAGGCGGTGTGCAGCGGTGGAGGGGGAGAGGGGAGGATGGGGGTCCGGCGAGGGGCGCAGGCCCCGGGTGGAGGAAGAGGCAGGCTGACTTCTGCTCGGGTGTCCTCGTCTTCAGCGACCCCGAGGACCGGCTGTGGATTTTGTAGTGGCTGTCGCGTAGGTGCAGCAGCGGACACCGTGATTCGCTTCTCCAGAGGGTGGCTCCGCCCCCGGGAGAGCCCCACCTCCGCGACCTCGCCTCCTGATTGGCGCAGCCGTGTCCGATGGGCGGGCCGTCCCGGCGCCCGCTGCTGATTGGCCGACCGTCGTCGTCGCTGGCTGCCGATTGGTTCGCGCACGCGTCGTGATTGGCTGGCCGTCGCTGTCACTGGCGGCTGATTGGTTCGCGCTCGCGTCACTGACTGCTGATTGGCTGACGGGCTGTGTGAGTGGCCGGGCGCCCCAATCGCGTGTCGACAGTGTCGGTGATGTCCACAGGTACCGGTTGGCCGAGATATTCTATCGCCGGGGGGACAAGTCCACAGAAACGGTGGTTCTGTTCCTGCCGGACACCGCGGCGCTGGTGCCCTCTCGCGTCGACTGGGAGAAGCAGCAGGCCACCTATCAGCGTCATTTGGAAGCCAAACTTAACCCGTCGGCCGCCGCACAGGATGAGAAGGCACTGCCCCGTCTCCGCTCTCTCGTGTCTGTGGCCGATGGCGCTGCGTGCCGCTCGATGACTGTCCTGTATTGCAGCGGGATGAGGCACCGCCGGCCGCGGCCGCCGCGCCGGAACTGGGCACTTCCGGTCCGGTCGGCCGGGGCCGCGCCCCCGCTAACAGGCCAGCCTCGCGTCTGTTTACAGAGCGGCCACGTGGCGGCCACCTCACGACGGGGGTGACGTCATGGCCCGACGACATCATGTGCCGGTGACGTCACGGTTCCGGGGCGCGGTGCTGGCGCCGGAAGTGCGCCAGTTCCGGTCGCGGGCGGGCCGCGGTGGCCGCCGCGCGACTTCGCTTCGAGGGCGATACAGAGGGCCCGACTGCAGCGGCCGCTCCCGCTGGCGCGTCCGGCGCGTCTGGTGTTGGCGTTCGGCGTCTGTATGCGTCTGTGTGTCCGTATGTGTCCGGTGCGTGTGCATGCGCGGGATTGCGTGAGTGCCCAGCAGTGGACCGCTAGCTCGGCGGGGAGAGGGAGGGGACTGTACCTCCGGGCGGTGGTCGCACGTGGCAACGTCGGGGATCAGGCCGGGGGCGGCGGGGCGGGGTGACCCTCGCCCCCGCCGCTGCAGCACGCTCGCTCGCTCGGTCCGGCGGCGTCCAGCCGCCGCGCTGAGCCGAGGCTTCCCGGACCCCCCCCCCCCCCCCCCTGTTTGTGTCGCCCCCCGTCACCGGCCGTGACGCCGCGATCTCTCACGCCCCGCGACGCCCCGCTTCGGCTGATCCGCTGACCGCGCTGGTTCGGCTGATCGCGCTGGACCGGCCACTAGGCAGCCGCGGTACCCTCGGGAGCCGGCCTGCCCGGCTGGCCGGCGCCGACCGCATCAAACGCTGTCGGCGTCCGTCCCCGTCCGTTGGCCCCGTCGCCAGATGACGTCAGCCCTGTGACGAGATGACGTCAGTCCAGTGACCTAATGGCGTCAGTCCCATGACCAGATGACGCCGGCCTCGTAGCCATTTGACGTCAGTCCCATGACCAGATGACGCCGGCCTCGTAGCCATTTGACGTCGGTCCCATGACCAGATGACGCCGGCCTCGTAGCCATTTGACGTCAGTCCCATGACCAGATGACGCCGGCCTCGTAGCCATTTGACGTCAGTTCCATGACCAGATGACGCCGGCCTCGTAGCCACTTGACGTCAGTCCCATGACCAGATGACCCCGGCCTCGTAGCCATTTGACGTCAGTCCCATGACCAGATGACGCCGGCCTCGTAGCCATTTGACGTCAGTCCCATGACCAGATGACGCCGGCCTCGTAGCCATTTGACGTCAGTCCCATGACAAGATGACGCCGGCCTCGTAACCATTTGACGTCAGTCCCATGACAAGATGACGCCGGCCTCGTAACCATTTGACGTCAGTCCCATGACAAGATGACGCCGGCCTCGTAACCATTTGACGTCAGTCCCGGGGCCAGATGATGTCAGTCCCGTGATGGGGTGACGCCAGCCCCATGCCGGGATGACGCCAGCCCTACCTCCTGGTGCGTGCACGCCGTTGGCCGTGGCGGGAGGGAGCGGTGTGCTGCCGCCGCCACTGCCACTGCCACCGCCCGCTCTGACCCGGCACGTGCGTGCGTGGCGTGGCCGTGCAGGACGAGGAGGGCGACGGCGAGGTGGCGACCAAACAGGAGCCCACGCGCTGGACGGAGCTCGACCCGAAGAGCATGAAGGTGGCCGAGCTGAAGCAGGAGCTGGAGCTGCGCTCGCTCAGTCCGAAAGGTGCGGCCGGGGGGCGGCGGCGGGCTGCGCGTCGTCCGCGCTGCCGGGGCCTCCACCTCGGACCGCCGGGGACTGTGACTTGGGCTCTGCGGGAGATCCCCGGTTGCGGGAGTGGGGAGCCCACCCTCCCGAAGCTTTCGCCGCTTCTCTTGATGTTGCTTCGTGCGCGGGTCGAGCGGCCGCTCTCCGAGGGCGGGCGCTCTGGCGCGGCGCGCCCGCGCCAGACGTCGAGTCGCAGGTCCCGCGGGGCTCGGTCACACTCCACGAGGGGAGCATGGGTGGGCTGGCACTGGCGGGGAGGAGATCTCGCCGCACCTCGGGAGGGATTCCAGACTGTTCGCCACACACACCGTGGCTTAAGCCGCAGGCGAGCTGGCCGCGTGCTTGGCTCTGGCCCCAAGGGCAGGGCGGTCCTGTGATTAGTGACAGGCAGTGTCGGCGCGGTCCCATTTCACTGCCGAAGAACTGCACGAAACAATGAAATACACCTTACCGATAGCGTACAAACATTCACAACAGGGACAGTGTACCACTGAGTCTCACCGACGCGCCGGCGCGGTGGGACCGTTTGCAGTTGATGCGCCCAAAAGCCGTCATCATCGTCAGCATCATCATCATCTTCTTCATCATCATGATCATCATATTCACCATTATCACCAGCACCACCACGACCACCATCACTACCATCATCATCGTCGCCGTCGTCATCATCATCATCATTACTACCATCATTACCATCACCACCACCACCGTCACATCGCCGCCATATCCTTACAGGCAGACGGCAGATGCGTCTGCCACCCCGCCGTCCCGCGCCGTCCGCCGCCTCGCCCGCCTCCCTGACACCCTACCCCGCCGACAGGCCTCAAGTCTCAGCTGATCGCGCGGCTCACCAAGGTGCTGAAGACGGAGGAAGAGCGCGAGGAGGAGGAGCGGGTGTCGGGCGCGGCGGCCGCCGCCCAGCCGGCGCCGGCACCGCCGCCGGCGCCGCCAGCGCCGGCACCGGCCACCGAGCCCGAGCCGCCCGAGGACGAGGAGGCGCGGCGGCGGGAGGAGGCCGAGCGGCGGGCGCTCGAGAAAAAGTGAGCCGATGTGGAGTGGGTGTGGCGGTGCCGCGGTGCTGCGCTCGGTTGGACTTTGTTCACTGGTCGCTGTTATTTACTGGGCGGGAAGGATGGTTTTTGGCCGGGCCGTCTGCCTTTTGCGTGCGTTTCATCATCATGCATCATGTCTGCCTCGACGGCGTTTGCGCCCGCCGGTTCCCAGCGGTCAGCAGTACCCAGCTGTACACGTGTGCCATGTGCCAGGCCCTAAACTGCAAAGAATGAAGATGACTCAAGTATGATATCTCGTGATGAAAATAGCTGACCTTCATCACATCATCATACATCCACAAAGCACATGATCACAGTCATCAGCGTCATCCTCTTTATCACCATGTTGGTCATAACGATCAGCAGCAGCAGCAGCGGCTCCAGCAGCGTCACCCTCACCGTCGTCTGCTTCAGGTACCAGCTGCCGGACACGCCGCAGGTGGTGGTGCACCCGCACAGGACGGCCAAGTCGGGCAAGTTCGACTGCACGGTCATGTCGCTCTCCGTCCTGCTCGACTACCGTCCCGAGGACAACAAGGTGAGAACGATGCGGGACTGCTCGTCCGCATGGAGGCGAGAACCCTCACGCCTCTCAAACCGGTCACTGCTCGGGGCTCGGGGGACGTTTTCCGTCGCCATGTCACGGTCACGACATTACCGTTGTCTGGCTACCAATGGCAAGCACTCGTGCCTCGAGGTGGCAGGTTCTCAGGTGAGAATCCCTCATGGCGAGAACATCCTGAGCGGCCAAGAGCTCTGAATCGGCGGCGAGACTACAGCGCTTTAATAGATAAGTGCGTCTGTCGAAATCTCTTGCTGGCATGCTGTGAAGCCCAAATGCGCTCTCAGCATGCCGTAAAGGTCATATGCGTTCCCAGAGCATGCTGGAAAGGTCATGCGCGTTCTCAGAGCATGCTGTAAAGCTCATATGCGCTCCCAGATCATGCTGTAAAGCTCATGTGCGTCCTCAGAGCGGAGGAGTGCCGAGCAGTTTCGGTGTGGCGCCATATTGCGGTGCGTAGCCATGGCAGCACACGGCTGTGAGGTGGACTGGCATCATCAGTGGAGAGCCTCGGACGGTTCCGGTCCGTTCCGGTCCGTTCTGGCCCGTTCTGGTCCGTTCGTGATCGGGTATGGGAGGCGCGTGATGCAGGAGCTCAGTGGGGTGGTCCACCGCACTTTGGATCGAGAGGTCGTGAGTTCGAGACGCGCTGCAGGCTGACGTGTTTCCCCGGTCGACAACGATCTGAGTGGTCGCGGCGGTGACAGCGAGAGTCGGTGCGCATGCCGACTTGTCTGATCCGCCACGGAAGAACACTCGTTTAATGCGTCACTTTTCACTGATGTCTGATGGAAAGCCCGCGCCGTCCCCACGCGAGCACCTGTTTGGGGTGTCGGTGTTCGTCGAGGTGTAACAAAATACCTCTGCCGGCCCTGCTTGACGCCTGTTTGGGATGTCGGTGCTCGTCGAGGTGTAACATAACACCTCTGCCGGCCCCGCTTGACACCTGTTTGGGGTGTCGGTGTTGGCCGGCGTAAGACATGGCGCCCCTGCCGTCTCCGCAGGAACACTCGTTCGAGGTGTCGCTGTTCGCCGAGGTGTTCAACGAGATGCTGATGCGAGACGCCGGCTTCACCATCTACCGGGCGCTGGTGGAGGCACCCGACAAACCGCGCGAGGAGGTACGGCGTGGTGCGGCGCGCTGCCAACGGGCGGGGCGGGGCGGGGCCGGGCTAGGACGCTGAGCAGGAGTTGGAGCCGGGCTGGGACGGAGTAGCGTCCTGTGCTGCAGCGCAGGTGCTCCACAGCCACATCTCACCCGTGCTTCCTCCTGTTAAGCTGTTCACTTCGTTATGAAACTTTCGTGTTGATTCATTGTGAGCCGTCAACGTCTCGCAGAGTCTTAGACCATGGTCCCCGTTCACGAATGGCGTAGCGTCGGCAGCGCTGGCCTGGCGCGCGTTGTCCAGTTGCGTTGACGTTTCCTTTTCTCCTCGGCGCTGCTTGCAGAAGAAGAGCAAGGACCAGGACAAGGAGAAGAAGGAGGCGGCCGGGGACGAGGACAAGAAGAAGGAGGACAAGGAGGAATCGGAGGAGCGTGACGACGACGATCACACCTCCAGCGACGCCAACGTACGTCCCCGTGCCCAGTCACCTCGCTGTCACCTCATACCCGGATAATTTACAATTAATAATAATTTTTATTTAATACTCCTGCTCGGCTTCCTAGCCGGCTCCGGTCCCGGTTCCGGCCCCAGCTGCGGCTCCGGTTCCGGTTCCGGTTCCGGCTCCAGCTGCGGCTCCGGTCCCGGTTCCAATTCCAGCTCCAGCTCCAGCTCCAGCTCCGGCTCCAGCTCCAGCTCCAGCTCCGGCTCCGGCTCCGATAATTTTAATTTACATACCCGTTGGGGCAGACGGCCGCCGTGACGAGGCGGGTCTTGATCAGCGCTCAGTCCGGGCTGGTCGCTGATTGGTGGGTCCGTGCCCGTCGCTCCTCACCGGCTGCGGCGTACCTCAGTTCGCGCGCTGGTGCTGTCGTGGTCCGCCCGGACGGCGCGACGCGCCCCGGTGCCCCGGTCCCGGTCCGAAGTGGCGCGTCCCAGACTGCCCGATGTGGGAGTCGACCGCCGCCGCCGGGCGAGCTCTGCGCCGTCGCTGACCGCCACCCGTCCGCTCGGCAGATGTACACGGCCAACAAGGCCCTGCTGAACGCCTTCGCCTACTTCGACACGTCCCACTGCGGCTACGTCGTCGATAAGGACCTGGAGGAGATCCTGTACACCATCGGCATCGGCCTCAGCCGCGCGCAGGTGCGGTGCGTGGCGCGCGTGGCGCGCGCTGAGTTCGGTCCGCCAGCGCAGCTGAAGTGTTCAGAAGTTAGTAGCGCGCGGGGGCCGGAGCAGCGTCATATGGCCTCAGCAGCTGAGTGCGTCGTAATGCCCGAGCAGCGACATGGAGCGGGTTGTGAGCGGGTCGGAAGAGATTATTGGTTGACTGGTGGGTGGGTTAGAGCAGGCCGCCGTCTCCCGTTCAGCGGCCGTAGGTCATCCTGTTAACCGGCCGTAGGTCATCCCGTTCAGCGACCGTAGGTCATCCCACTCAGCGGCCGTAGGTCATCCCGGTCAGCGGCCTATCGCCCGTAGGGCCACATAGGGCCACGCACTGACGCAAACCGATTCGACTGACGGCGGCAGCCCCTGTCCAATCAGACGGCTCCTGCACATCTCGTGGTGCAGGTGTCAGACCGGCGGAACGGGCAACCGATGACGTCACGGGAGCACGTGACGGCGATCGCCGAATGACCGTGCCTGGTTTATAGGGCCTTGGGCCAGAAGGCCAAAGTGGTGTCTTGGCGAGGTATTCGCCGGATGTTGGGGCGCTGCGGGATGTTGCCTGTGGTGCCTGTTCGCTCCCCAGCGGGCAGCAGCGTCTTACGCCGATTTTCCCAGCACTCGCCCAAGACTGGGTAGTTTTTGCGCACTCAGCCATTCGATGAGGGCTTCGGCATCTTTTGGCGCGGAGCAGTTGTGAATGTGTGATTTGATCTATGGAATGTGCCATTTGCATACCAGTGCACTCTGACGTCATCGCTATCTCGGTTGGGGGGGGGGGGGGCTCTGTGGATCCGACGACTGGTCTCCCTTGAGTAATATTGCTAATCGTTTCGCGGGTTAAAATCGACCCGTCGAAAACTCCCCGCGGCGGGAATCGAACCCGGTCCCTCGCCCGCGAGCTCGGTTGGCTGACCACTCGGTCGGCGCGGCGGCAGAGTCGCAAGCTGGTGCAGAAGGTGGCGGAGAAGGACGCCGTGCCGTACCGGCGCCTGACTGACCGGCCGGTGCCGGAGGACGGCGAGGAGGAGAAGCCCGATCCCAGCCGGCAGGCTGACGTCACCACTCTGGCCAAGGGTGAGACGGAGAGGGGGGAGGAGGTGGGAGGGGGGAGGGGAGACGGTTCGGTGTTGGGTGCCGGTAAAGCCGTGGTGTGCCGGTTTCGGTCGATTTGGTGTCCCTGTTCTATAATTTTTCTCTTTACGATTTCCGGGATTGTTTCTTTACACTGGTTATTCGAAAGTTTTTGTCATTGGGTTTACGCAAATGTGGGGTGGTGGCGCTGTGACGGCCCTCAATTACGGCAGTGTTTTGGCCCATGCTGTGCCGCCCAAACGCCAACGTGAGAAGCGGCGGCGTTACAACTCTAGAATTCGTGGAATCGAAACGCTACTTTACGGAATGAGGAGCGTCCGTTCGCGTTAAGAAAGCTGAAATTCACGGCTTGATAAGACCATCCAGTCCCCATCTGACATGGTGTCCAGCAATACGCTACTATTGCTGTGGTTCTTTTGTTGTTTTTTGTTGTTTGTTGTTCTTGTTGCTGTTGCTCTTGCTATTGCGGTGAATGTTGTTCTATTCACTACCCCCCCTCCGCATGAGCGCCCCCGTACCGGCACATCGTCGCGTAGCCCCCCCTGGTGTCGTGAGTGGTGGGCGAGCCCGCCGCCGTCGCTCGCGGACTGCCGTCTCACCCGCGGCGCCGTCCTCCAGGCAACTGGCAGCACCTGCCGGCGTTCGCGCGCCGCGGCGCCGCCAGCGGTGGCGCGTCCTCCGCCGCCGCCGCTGCTGCTGCCACCGCCACCGCCGCCGCCGCCTCGGCCGCCGCCGACTCCGAGGAGCAGCCAGGTGCGGCGCTGGTGGCGCGCCGGTGGCGTTTGTGGCGCGCCAGCCGCGGGCGAAGCGTCGGAGGAGGTCGCTTGCTGGGGTGGGGGGGGGGGGGGGGGCGACGACACGCAGCGGTGGGGTCGTGTGGAGCCGGACCGGAAGGACGGCGGGTTGTGATGTGTGTGGGATGCCGCGTGAGCCCCCCCCCCCCCGTTGAGCCCCCCCCCCCCGTAACCCACCGCAGTTGCGTCGCCACTGCTGATGGCGGCGTAACTGACGCAGCCAGCGATGGGAGGGGGGGGGGGGGGGGGGGCGCAGCGCCGACAGTTTTGACAAACCATTCTTTTCTGTCGACGCTAAGTTAGCTTTGTCAGGGGTGCGTCTTCGCGTCCGTGTAATGCACCTATCATCACGCCATGTGAGTGATGTGGTGCACTGCTGCTCGTGCGCCTCCGAACTACGGCGCCGCCTACGCGGCTCTGGTAGCATGTAGGCCGTGTCGCGCCCGGCGCTGCCCTGTGCCGCACTGTGCTGTGCTGTGCTGCCACAGCATAGCACAGCACAGGGCGACACAGTGAGACGGCCGCGCTGTCCCGCTCGCCGGCGCCGGCGGTGACAGCGCGCCTCTGACGTCACGCCTCTTACGTCACGCCGCTGACGTCATGCCTCGCTCCGGCGGCAGTGATGGTGATGTTCGAGGGCAGCCTGGTGGACCTCTCGTCGCTGATGGCGCGCGTCCGGCGGGCCGACACCACCCTGCAGCGGACGGAGAGTCGCATGTCGGAGCTGCAGGTCAGACCTTCCCCGCCCCGTCCACGCCACCCCCCGGGGCGTGGCGGGCACGACACCGCACGCGGACGCGCCCAGGAGCGCGTCTGCGTTGAAAGCGCGGTGGTCGAGATGACGATGACGGTGGTGACGATGCTGTAAGTGATGGTGACAGCTGATGGTGTAAGGTAGGTTGAAGTGTTGAGCCCGTCAGTGAAATGTACGCGGTAACGTGATAAACGGATTTTCCGGTGAAAAAGGGCCTGTGCCGGCCGCGGCGCTCCGTGCGGTTACGTGGCGAACGACCCCGCCTCCCCCTCAGTGTTCGAATTTTCGGCTACTTCTGGTGGCAGGGATGTCGATATTTTGCATGCTTTAACACCCCGACTTCGGGATCACTGCCTGTGGCCCCTTCCTTGCTTAATATCGGCCAATTAGCATCAAACCGTGCGAATGTCAACCCAGCATCTAAGCGCCTCAGGCTTGACAAGTGGACTGAGAGGGCCAGATGGCTGGGTCGGGGTCAAAGGACGACGGAGTGGCGCCGACGAACTGCTTACGGGAACCGCCGAAGAGCCAGGGTTCCTAAAGCATGCGTTTATAGTTAAATCCTGCACGCCCTTCTGGACGAATTTTGGACGCTGCCCCCGTCTCCCGTCCCGGGGTCTGACGTCTCGCCGCTCTCGGCGCGCAGGAGGAGGTGCGCACCGTCCGGGAGGAGGCGGCCGGACTGCGCTCACAGGCGCAGACGCTGGACCGCGAGCTGGAGGCGGCCCGCAGCCAGGCCACCGGCCTGGAGCGCGAGCTGACCGGCAGCAGGGTACGTGGGCCGTGCGTTGTGCGTTGCGCTGTGCGTCGTGGTGTATGTTGTGCGGTTTGTTGTGCGTTGTGTTGTGTCGTATACCCTGTGCTGTGTTTTGTCGTGTCGTGTCATGTCGTGTCATGTTGTGTCATGTTGTGTGTTGCGAGGTGTCGGTACTTGTGCGGGCTTGTCAAACATCGGACGGCGTGCGCAGGCGCGCGGCCAGTCTCGGGCCCGCGTCACACGCACATGTGACGGGAGGCGATGCGATGCGATGCATGATGCGATGCGGTACGATGCGTGATGCATGAGATGCGATACGTGCTGGGTCTCGTGCGTGCTGTGGGGCGCCGCGTGTGCGAACAGGCGCGCGTTCGCCGGTCCGGCGCTGGCGGCGGCTGACAGCGGCCGGGGCGCATCGGCCGCCGCCGAGATGCGCCGCCGCGCGGCGCTGGGAGCGGCCCCGCCGGGCTCGGCGCGCCGCCTGGGCGCCGTTGTGACCGCGCGCCCCGCGCCCCGCCGGCAGGAGACGGTCGGCAAGTACGGCACGGCGCTGGACGCCGTGTACGCGGCCGTGGCGCCTCTGGTGGCCGAGGCCGAGAGCAGGAATGCCGAGCAGACCAAGGCGGAGGCGGAGAGCGACGGCGAGGTGAGCGGGCTCCGCCAGGGCGCCGAGACCGTCGGCGTCCGGGGGTGGGACGGAGGGTGGCGGCCGCGGCGCCATCGGCCGGCGGGGGGGGGGGGGTCGATGGCGTGGTCGAGCGGAGCGCGCCCGAGGGCGTCGGTGTCTGCGCGTACCGGTGTGGGTGGCCTGCCGTGTTGGCGGGCGCGGGACGTGATGCGAATAAGTGCGCCCACCGCAGGCTTTAGATGGGGTAACCTCGGGTGGCGTGCCAAGAGCAAGTGGCGAGAGCAGGATTTCTCTCGGTAAATGGCGACGTAAGTTTTGCCTGCGTGTGAGTGACCGATCCACGGGCCGATGCGGAACTGGTTCGCGTTGGTGTCAGGCGTCTGTCGGCCAGGACTGGCTGTGGATCGTCGGGCTGTATTTGAGGGGTTGGCGAGAAAGAGGGCAGCAGCGTCACCAAGTGCGTGCGTGCGTGCGTGCGTGCGTGCGTGCGTGCGTGCGTGCGTGCGTGCGTGCGTGCGTGCGTGCGTGCGTGCGTGCGTGCGTGCGTGCGTGCGTGCGTGCGTGCGTGCGTGCGTGCGTGCGTGCGTGCGTGCGTGCGTGCGTGAGAGAGAGAGAGAGAGAGAGAGAGAGAGAGAGAGAGAGAGAGAGAGAGAGAGAGAGAGAGAGAGAGAGAGAGAGAGAGAGAGAGAGAGAGAGAGAGAGAGAGAGAGAGAGAGAGCGCGAGAGCTCGACAGTCCGTCACCCGGCGCCGCCTCCCGGCAGGAGATGCCGGACGCCTCTCCGGCCAGCGAGGCGGCCGCCGACGCCAAGCCGGAGCCCAAGCCGGACGACAGGTCGGACGCCAAGGAGGCGACGCCGGAGCCGGCGGCGGGCGACGCCAAGCGACGCGTCAAGCCGGAGACGCCGGACGCCAAGCGACGTGGCAAGGCGGCCAGTCCCGAGCCGGCCGCCAAGAAGGCCAAGGTCGAAAACGGCCAGCCGGTCTGAGCGCCGCGCGGTGGGCGCCGACTGCGCGGAGTGGGAAGAGGCGGCCGCAGGAGTGGGGAGTGCGCGGTCGCTGTCAACTTTGGTGCGTGACGGCCGCCGGAGTGTGGAGTGTGGCGGCTGCCGGCGTGGAGAGTGCGCGGCCACCAGAGTGGAGTGTGGCGGCCGCCTGAGTGGAGTGTGAAGGCCGCTGGAGTGTGGAGTCGTCGGGGGGCCGTCCGGCCGGCCGGCTGCAGTGCTGGTGGCTCTCGGAGCGGCATTGGCCACAGTCGGAGGGCGCTGTGCGTCGCGCGCCCCTGCTCTGTTCGCGCCGGCGCCCCGTCCGGCGCCGCGTGCGCCGACATCTGACCTCGTCCGGCGCCGAGAGCGCCAGACGCCCGGCCTGTCGGCACCGCGGCGGTGACCTGTGACCGAAGTCGGGATCCTGCCCCGTGTGAGGAGTGCGAGCCTCGCTGGGTCAGGGGTGCGTGCGTGCGTGTGTGTTTGTGCGTGCGTTGTCTCACCAATGAAATCCCGCCCGGCGGTGCGCGTGCGTCCGTGGTTCCAGATTGTCTGCTCTTTGGCCACCAATATACGGAGACTGCGTTTGCGGCTTGGTTGACGTGCCGAGTCGGTTGGTCATGAGCGCCAGCTGATGGCGGCCCCTGGAAGCGAATCGTTAGCGCTCGCTGAGACTTGGACCGATGAAATGGCGTGGTTCGCTTCACTCTGTCCCTCCTTTCTCACTGTCCCTCTTTCCTCAGGCCGCACATTGTGCCGGAAGCGCAATGTATGGCCTGAGGCAGGGGCCTGAGATTACTGCATCCGCCAGAGCCGCGCTTCTGCTGAGCCGTGACGTCAGAGGAGCGACTGTTCGCCTGCGCCGGGATTTCGCCGCCGACGTCACACGCGGCGTCTGTCTGTTCGTGCAGTGGGTTTCGATGCGGGCATCGCTTTGGCTTGCTCGATCGGACTCACTTCCAGCCCCGCTGGTGCCGGGGCGTCGTAAGAGCTGGCCAGCCCGTGTCTGGAACTTCTGCATTGTGCATGATTGCGTTGAAAGCAAATATCCATATCGGAAATATTGTCATCTGCCCAAGATTGCGGACCCTAAGCCGGTACCCATTCGCCTCCATCCTGTTGCTGATGAACGGTGTGGGACCGGCGCGCGCGCCATTTGCAGTGAATGGATCGGATGTAGGTTGGAATGCGCGCCGCCCTGAAAATGAGTGCCGGCAATTGATAGTGTCTCACGGAGGCAGGCGAGTCCGTCTTGGTCGGCGACGGGCACATGCACAGCACATCTGAGCGATAGGCATGCCGTCTTTTAAATTTGAAAACCGCTGCCGGTGCTGGTTCCAGGTGATAATGTTTCAAAGCCCACCATGCGTGGCGCAGACCAGGGCTGGATCTTGCTGCAGAGTAAGAGCTACATCTTCCCCTTCCCCGCCCACCGACGTATTCGACTTTATCCCCTTAAAAGCTGGGGAAAGTGAACTAAATTTGCGGAAAGTTCTTTGGGCTTTGCGGGAGGGAAAGGTTAGTTTCGGTTGCTTACGGCGCAGATCCATAAAATCGCATCAAACGGTAGTCACGATTACCTGCATCTGGTACACATGTCTGTTGATTTGGAACTGCGCAGGGTTTAACTGGGATTAATTAGAAGCACAAGGGACACGCGAAGAGTTTGAGTTTGAGGGCAAAAAGCTAAAACTCTGCGCTTAAAGAGTTTGTCGTTCTGGAATTGTTGATTCATTCCGATTATCTAACTGACAATTTTACAGCTGAATCATCCGAGCAGAACTGCTTTTGTCCCGCCCGAACATAATGAACCGATTTTACAAAATTCCGGATCGATTTCACGAACGCCTGTCGGCAGCCGCCTGGTGCGAGCCGTCGAGCCCACGCCAGGCGCGCAGCGTCAGGCGCCGATGCTCTAAGGTTTCGAGACAGGGAGCGCGCATGCTTACCACTGTGATTAGATAAGATAAAGTGACGATTAACTTAAGACGACGTGAGCGCCTGCCCAAGCCAGAATGTACGCATGAATCCGAAAAAATTCCATCCGGCTCCGGGATTTGAAGCCGCAGCCTTTGGACATGGTCCTGTCCTGTAGTTCTGTATCATTGCGCTGCATACGCCGTCCGCGCCGCCTCCGCCGAAATAGAGAAATCGGCGTTGGGCTGTCAAGTAAACTTTGACGCTTGAAAAGTATAAGAATTGACTATAAAACAAAACATGGCATGAATGTTGGAGACAGAAAGTGAGCGATCTTTTGCATGGTGTGATAATAATAAGATCAGCTCGGTAAAATCCAACGCAGGACCTTCCGAGTCTCTTGGCAAACGTTTACGCGGCATAGACATAATGGGCGCTAACGATCCTATGACGTCATGAGCTGTGGTCCAAATCAGCCAATTACCTCCACGTTGGCTAAAGGCTTCAGGCGGCGTCATCATAATCACCATCAGCATTTATTTAACATCCTGTCGGACAGCATACAATGGAGGAACATCCAACTATGCACATACGCATTACATGCTTGCAATATGCGTAACCGCCTACCAATCTACACACGCGAGGTGCACTAGCCTTCTGACGTTCGAGTCGATTCTAGTACACAGTCATCTGAGAGACTCAGTCACATCCACAGTCATCTGAGAGACTCAGTCTGGTGGCATCCACATCCACAGTCATCTGAGAGACTGGGTCACACCACACTGGGGTCGCACTGGAGAAACCAGGCAGCTCTCCATCCTCCCGCATGCCGAGTTGGCTAGCCGCTTCCAATCTTGTACGCAGAGCAACAACGCGGATCCGGCAAAACTATCGGCAAGCTCAGCCGGGCGGAAGACAAGCACGGCTAGAGCCCTCAGAAGAGCTTGGCGCAAGCGATATGGCGAGTGAAACAGGCCGCTGAACTTTTTGGGGACAGCAGACCGCACCTCGTCCTGTATTGGCGGTGCACGCAGGACCTTGAGAGGGGCCGTGTTGTGCGCTCGCCGCGGAGGTCCTACAGCTGCTCTTAAGGCAGACGCCCACCAGGCCTCCACGCGCTCAATATCCGCTGCAGCCAAAGCTGCTCGTGCGCTCCCAAGAAGAAGAGCTGGAACCACAATGGCGGCTTACAGAAATGCTTTCTCCTTTGCCGGAAGGCGGAGACCACTGACTGGTGCTTGAGCGCAAGATGACTTACGCGCGGGGTGCAGACGGGCGTCCACGTGGCGCCCGCTGCGCGGCTCCGGGCCGAGTACGGCACCCGGTCACCCGGTCTGCGCGCACACGGCCAATCGCTGCCCACGCAGGTACCATTTGGACTCGTCTTATGTAAGCCTGCCCCCCCCCCCCCCCACCGCCAAAAGAAAACAACGAAGTGCTTAGTGTATGTGCAGTACCGGGGTGCACAAACTCCAAGCAAGCACACCGGGTGGTGAACTCTTCAACAATCCTTGGCATGCGACTCACGTGATGTTCGTTGCTGAAGAGGATGAGATCGTCAGTATAAGTCACCACTGGGACATGAGAGCCATGAAGACGCGCTCCAAGACCGATGAGGTTCAGCTGCCTGATAAGTAGAAACAAAAAGCATTCGCAAGTTACGGCGACAAAATCGCTTCCTGACGAACGCCCGTGAAACAGTAAACCCAGCGACCGCTGACTGTCCAGCACTATGCGGGCTGACAGAGACGAATACCAGGCTGCCAGGAGTGCCCAGCTCCGCAGAGGCAGGTGCTCAGCAGCACGCAACAGGAGGAGAACGTGCCGTGCTGTCGGAGCACTTCCGAGCATCTAGATTAGCGGCGAAGACCGGCCCCGACTAATGCGCCACCGCGTAAACTCCTCCAGAAGGAGGACTGCTTCAGAAGCCCCTCGTGTCTCCATGAAGCCGAACTGCAACTCGCTCGATGCAAATGACGATTTAAGCTTACCAAGGGGCGGCATTTAAGCTTATCAAGGGGCGGAAATCACTGAACCGTGCGAGATCGACCGATGATTATGGAAGACGTCCAGACTGGACCCACGTTTTTTTTTGCGGAGGCGCACAATCGTGTTGCAGACGAGGCTGAAACCGCACCTGCAGGTTGTAAAAACAGTCGGTCAAGAGCCGTGCCAAGGCCTGTAAAAAGGCTGGAGAAGCTCGACACAGAAGGTGCTCGGCCCGCGCTACACCGCACCTCAGACCACAGCACGACGTGCAGCCTCCTCAGCCTGAGTATGCGAAAAACACCAGGGTCAGCCCCAGCAGTGGCTCCGAACATGATGTTTCGCCACAACCTGTTTATTCGTAAACCCCCCCCCCCCCCCCCCGGCTGCAATGAATAGAGCTCAAGTGAGACGTGAAATCCTCGGCCCACGAGCGGTACAGGCCGCTTTACAACCGCGTCCGCGCGCTCAAAAGGCGCGCAGTTGCCCGGGATGACGTCATGCGGCTAGAATCCGCGGCTCTCGGTCCGGCCGGGCACCAGCAGCCTTCTCACGTGCCCGCCGACAGACTCTCAGCGCATCTCTGAAAAAGTTGTGCAGCACTGGTCCGTGGGGCCTGCCACTTAGCGTCCAGAGATGAAACCAGAGCCGCGCTCTGCCGCGAGTGGCTGGGCAAGACGGTGTTCACCGAGGTGTCGGCAACCGCCAGGGTCTAGAACAACCGGCCTCGGAGGCTGCAGCATGGATCGCCGATGTCAGCGCTCAAGCAAACCAGTCAGCGCTGAAACAACAGGGCAGGGGTCGCCCAAGCAGCCCGGCCAGGCTCCGCTTATATACATAGATACAAGGGATATCTATTTACCGATTTGCACGGGCTCGCCACCAGACTGCTGCTGGACCCCGATTTATTTTCGCGCAGCTGAGGCAAGAGAAACGGCAAATTTTTCACCATGCCTCGTGCGTTGCTACTGCTGTCTCCTGCTCAATAAATGTCAAATATTGACAAATGTAGCTCGAAATGCTGAAACGAATCAAGTACGAACCAAACGTCAGGATGCGCTACTTTGCCACATATTGCATGTCAGCCTGTTTGCATCCGTAAATTTGCAATGTTTGATGTGAATTTAACTGCGCAGAGTAACTATGCAAGCTGCGGTGAATGGGAACGGTCTCGAATTGAAACAGGAGTGGACTGCTTTTGCCACGATTCATTGTCTATGCCTGCTAATTGTTCCGAATTACGTGACGCACTCATTGTTTGGCATTGCTAGACTGCTCAAAATGATAAAGTTAAGTGGTACGCGGGACTCCCACAAAGGCGGGCCATGCGCTGACCAAAAGTCGTAGTTCTATGAGGAACAGGGGCGGAGTCTTTAAGAAGGTCCAAATATCCAACAACATGGATCTCTCAATTGCATAGTACGGATGTAGAGTGCGTGAGAGCTTGGACCGATCCGATGGGAAAAGTAAGCAACAGGATAACAGGGCGACGCCCGTTGTAACAGAGTGACACCCAAGGTAACAGGGTGACGTGTGGAATAACAGGGTGACGCCCAGGGTAACAGGGGGACGCCCAGGGTAACAGGGGGACGCCCAGGGTAACAGGGGGACGCCCAGGGTAACATGGGGACGCCCAGGGTAACATGGGGACGCCCAGGGTAAC